TGAGGGTTCATGCAGGTAGGGTACTAGTTATGCGCATGTCTGAACTGTTGGTGGGTCATGGTCGTGTGGAATTAGCTGAGGAATGGCGCCACCTCTGATCCCCAAACTTGGGAACATGACCTCTTTCCTGGTGAAAGGATGTTTCAGATGTCATGAAGGCTTTGCGATGGGGAGTTTATCCTGGAAGATCTCTCGGTGGGCACTCTGGAATTATAGGGTTCCTGAGTGCCTCAGGGAAAGAGGGGAAGGTCAGAGAGGAGATGTGACCGAGGATGTGCTTGCTGGCCACAAGCCAGGCGATGCCAGCACTGGGGACTGGAAAAGTAAAGGAAATCAGTTCTCCCCTCGGACCTCCAGAAAGTTGGCCGCTCTGCTGACATCTTGAGTTTAGCCCTGAGTTCTTCTGATCTCCAGAACAGCAGATAAATAAATAAATATATTGTTTTCTTGTTTATTTGTTGTTGTGGTATCAGGGTTGAACCCAGGGTTTTGCAAATGCAAGGCAAGTGCTGTACCAATGAACCACATCCCTGGCCTCTAAATTTTCCTCGTGCTCTGTTTGGGGGTGCTGGGGGGGCAGTGCACACACCTCATGGTGCTCTGGGCTTCTCCCAGCTCAGAGCTCAGGGGACTGTGCAGTGCTGGGGTTTGAACGTAAGGCTCCATCACACAGGACATATACTCCAGCCACTGAGCCTCTCTCAGCTCCAGTTTAAATCATGTGGAGTCACCACATTTGTGGTAATTTCTTACCACAGCAACAGAAATCTAATAGGCTATGTATGACTTTCCTCCCTCTAGGGAAAATGTCTTCTGAATTCCAAATATTTAATCAAGAATAAGCTCTTGAAGCATGGCCAGTTTGCATTTTGTAGTCAGCCCATATTTACCTTCATGTTCCATGGATTTTTCTCCAGGGTCTTAGGGAAGCTCAGTTTATTCATCTGGATAAAGAGATCTTGGTTTTTTCTGTTTTGAAAAGCAATTGTTAATCTAAAAAACAATTTTGAAAATATATATGTTCTAGGATTTTTTAGTTATTTAATCATGGTAATAGGTCTGTGAATAACCTATTTCTTCCACTGGATATGAGGCTTAAGAAAGGTGGATGATGCCTTCTTAGTTGAGAAGATAAAATGGTGTGAAGCGGAGGAGAGGATAGACCCTTTAATATGCTTTCAAAGAGTCTGAACGTTCATCCAGAGACAATACAGGGGTTAAGGCATTTGCCTTACATCTCACTGATCTCGGTTTGAATGCCCGGTACCACATATGTTCCCTAAGTACCACAGGGTTCACTCCTGAGCACAGAGCCAGGAATAGCCTCTGAGCACTGCCAAGTGTGCCCTCCCACTCAGAAAAGGTCTGAGCTCCACTTTAGGGGTATGCTTAGGGATCACTCCTGGCAACTCTTGGGAGCTCATATGTAGAGCCAAGAATCCAACTAGGGGGGCAGAGCAAATAGTACAGCAGATAGGGTGCTTGCGTTGCACGCAACCAACCAGAGTTCAATCCCTGGCATCCTATATGATCCCCAAGCACCTCCAGGAGTAATTCCTGAGTTTAGAGCCTGGAGTAACCCCTGAGAATTGGTGGGTTTGACCCAAAAAGCAATAATAATAATAATAATAATAATAATAATAATAATAATCCAACTAGGGTTGCCACATGCAAGTCATCTTATCCCTGTACTATCTCTCTGACCCTGGATTTCATCTTTTTTTTCCTGATTCATTTCTTTTTTTTATTTTATTTTATTTTATTTTTATTAGTGAAACACCATGAGGTACAGTTGTAGATTTACAATTTTTTTGTGCTTGGGTTTCGATTATACAATGATCAAATACCCATCCTTCCAACATCTTTTTTTTTTTATGGATGAATAGTATTCCATTGAAACACAGACATTCTTAAAAGACAAAGATCCAAAGATCAGAAGGAAATTAGCACAAGCCCAGAGTCTAAAAGGAAACAGAATCAGCTTGGGACAATGTAAAATTTAGACAATAAAATGAATTTATCCTGTTTGAAGACAAAAAGGAAAAGACAGCCAGTGGATTCTCTGTTCTATAAGGAGCTCTCTGAGCCTGGACTGCAAGAGAGAGAGAGAGGGAAGGGCTTTGAGAGATAGGAATTATAGAAAGATGAATATAGAGAAGCCTTCTGAGAAAACGAATGGGCAGTGTTAACTGCGCAGAACAGGGGGAGGGAGAGGTAAGACAGGATTCAGAGTGGTTCAGTGTTGACCATGTGTAGTGTGTACATGGCTCTCAGTGGTTCACATCTGGCATGTTGGGTTGTAGGAAGCATGGCAATAAAGGCAAGTTAAGTCCAGATGTTGAAGGACCTTAAGACCTAACAAATGAGAAGGAGTGGAAAGATCAGATCTGATAGTGTTAAGACATTAACAGTGTCTTGAACTGTTGGAAGGGTTAACCAGTCAAAGAGAGGGTTCACCGCAACCCCAGCAGGCAGAATTCAAACAAATCATTTGAGGTCAGGGGAAATTCAGGTCATCCTAAGGAAGAGTCTGCACGACAGCCGGAACTGCCAACAGAGCAAATGCTGTGCCGGGTGAGATAGCAGACTTTCTGTCATCTGGAAGTGTTCAGCCCCCACTTCAGTGGCGGTAGGAAGGATTCCTCTCCAGGTGCAAGTAGTGAAGACTGCCCCGAGGACCCTTGAGACTTGATGGTAGAACCACCAGGCATGTTTTCGCCTGAGTCCAGGTCCTTCCCTGTGCTAAAACGTGTAAGCAGTTCTCCCAGGAGAATATAAAGCAGCAGCAGCAGCAGCAGCAGCAGCAGCAGCAGGCCCAAGCTCTGCTGAATTGAAGTCTTCTGGAGAGTGATCCTTGGTGATTGGATCAAGTACTTGGGTCAGTGTGTCACCTACTCACTAACTCACATACTTCAGAGAGAGGAAGTCCCCTGTTGCAGGGGTCCCAGGTGACCCAGGAGGGACTTGTAGTTGGCCCATTTCCACCCTTGGGCTGTCTGGCTGTGGGGAGCCTTGCTTCTGCCACGTGATGAGTTAGTTTAGTCAGCTTTTTTTTTTTAACTTTTTGGGTCACACCTGACGATACAAGGGGTTACTCCTGGCTCATGCACTCAGGAATTACTCCTGGCGGTGCTCAGGGGACCATATGGGATACTGGGAATCGAACCCGGGGCAGCCGCGTGCAAGGCAAATGCCCTGCCCGCTGTGCTATCGCTCCAGTCCCTAGTTTAGTCACCTTTGTTTTCAGCGCCTCACCTGCGGCTCTTTCTCATCAGGGACGCTGGTAGCTGGGGGAGGATGGACTAAAGCTGCAGCCCACTGAGCTGTTGCCACTGAGACCATCTTGCAGTCAGCCCAGCTTTCTCTGCAGAGAGTAGCTGATCCAGCTGGAGACCCTCTTTCGCCTCTACCCAGTTTTCTCTGGAGTCCCCTGCACGTGGCCCAAAATCCAGAAAAAAATAGATATAGAAAAAAAGCAAAGTGCCAAATAGAGGCTGGATCCTTGGTCATTCTCTGGCAGGCACCGGGCATGGCCCCTGACACAGCAGGGCCCAGGCTTAAGGCCATGACCCTCCTACAGGCCCCGGGCCACCAGACACTGCCTGCCAAGTCCAGCCCGCGGGAGAAAGGCAGAAATGCCCATGTCAGATGATTCAAACAGTCTCAGTCAACGTGTCTGGACAAGTACCCACTTACCTCACATCCAGAGTTGATTGTGGCCATAGCTACGTTCAGACATAATATTGACCTTCTTGATAATATTGTTCCTGAGTTACTGCCTCCTCACTCCTCATCTTCCTTTGTCCCTCCCCCCACACCACTCCTAGTCTTGTGTATGTCTTAATACCTGCTTGCTCGATTGCTGTTTGAATTCAATAACTCTTTCTCACCCTGTCAAAAGAGGTGATACTTGTCAGAGGCGGGCCCCGGTGGCCTGTCTCTCTGGTGAAGGGAAGCCCCTGACAGCTGGCCGAGGGCTGCCTCCCCAAACCATCTGAGACTGACACCCAAGCTTAGTAAGAGCAGCGCCGCCCTCCAGGAGCCCATCCACACTCTCCAGGCCCTTTCATCGGGGCTGCCCACGCCCTCCTCCTCAGAGTCGCAGGGACTTACTAAAGGTGAATGGATGCTCGGGCACCTCCCTGGAGGCAGCGGGCACCTCCCTGGAGGCAGCGGGCACCTCCCTGGAGGCAGCGGGCACCTCCCTGGAGGCAGCGGCCAGCCCCTGTTCTATCCCAGAGGGAAGAAGGTGGGTTCTCACCAAGACAACCAATTGTAAATGCCCAGGGGCTATTAGCAACCAGTCTGCAGCCAGTCCTTTCACTTGTTTTTCTCATCTGCAAAATGGAACTAATAATGGCTCCCCATTTACTGGGTAATTATGGGAATGACAGGCCTTAATCTATGGGAAGACTTCAGAAGAGATTCTATCCTGGCAACTGGATTCCGAATGACCCTAAGTAGGAAAGAAGGGAGGATGGGTCTGTTCAGATATGTGAGAAGTGAAGCATTTACAGGTGAAAAGAGAAAAAAGATGGGCTGGAGTGATAGCATAGCGGGTAGGGCCTTTGCCTTGCACATGGTCGACCTGGGTTCGATTCCCAGCATCCCATATGGTCCCCTGCGCACCGCCAGGAGTAGTTCCTGAGTGCAGAGCCAGGAGTAACCCCTGTACATCGCCAGGTGTGACCCAAAAAGCAAAAAAAAAAAAAGAGAGAGAGAGAAAGAGAGAGAGAGAGAGAGAGAGAGAGAGAGAGAAGAAACTAATCACAAGGCTCTGGAGAGATAGTACAAGCAGTCAACCCAAGTTTGCTCTCCAGCACCCAGTTTGGTCCCAGGCCCCACCAGGAGCCATCCCTGAGCACAGAGCCAGGAGTGAGCCCCGAGCACTGCCAGGTATGGGCCAAACAAAACAAAACATCACCTCTTCTACGTGGACATTTTCAGTCCTTTATGTTCTCTTTAAGCACTGCTTATAAATATTTTCTTTTCACCCTTAGGACTACACTTTGTTATATGAAGAAGCAAAATACTTTCAGCTTCAGCCTATGTTGTTGGAGATGGAAAGATGGAAGCAGGACAGAGAAACTGGTCGCTTTTCAAGGCCCTGTGAGTGCCTTGTGGTGCGCGTGGCCCCAGACCTCGGCGAAAGGATCACACTCAGCGGGGACAAATCCTTGATAGAGGAAGTGTTTCCTGAGATCGGCGATGTGATGTGTAACTCCGTCAACGCAGGCTGGAATCACGACTCGACGCACGTCATCAGGTTCCCACTGAATGGCTACTGTCACCTCAACTCAGTCCAGGTACAGCTCTGCCCTCAGCATGGGAGACCCCGGGGTGCTGGGTGCTGGTCCCCAGTCTTACTTCAACATGCGGCCTTTCCTCCAACGAGCAGAGAGCGAGCACTTCTGCAGGCTCAGGTGCACACCTTCAGCCATTTGTGCTATTCATTCAGAGACCTCAAATATTTGTTGAATAGCTACTATGGATGGCACTGGAAGAGAGGGAGAAAAAAAAAAGACACCAGCCCTATTACTGTGGCATTCACGGGATAGGAGTGGAGTCAGGCGCAAACAGTCACCAATGTAAAAGTTTGGTCAAAAGAAGAGAGTAACTGGGATAAAGTTATTCCAGGCAGAAGGACATTAGCAAGTGCTGATGACCTCAAGACAGGCCTGCTTGGCGGGGTTGGCAGGAAAGGCAGTGTGGGCCTGCCTTTGCTCTGCATGTGGCTGACCCGGGTTCAATCCCCAGCATCCCATATTGTCCCCTGAGCACTGCCAGGAGTAATTCCTGAGTGCAAAGCCAGGAGTAACCCCTGTGCATCTCTGGGTGTGATCCAAAAAGCAAAAAAAAAAAAAAAAAAGTCAAAGTTTAGCACTGCTGAGACATGAGACCAGGGGTAAGGTAAAGGTAAAGGTAAAGGCCCTCCCGTTGATCGTCGATTTGCTCGAGCGGGCCCAGTAACGTCTCCATTGGAGACTTTGTTGTTACTGTGTCTGGCATATCGAATACTCTCGACCAGGGGTACTCAGGGTAAACCATGGCTGCCTTGTGGAAGGTAGCGGTATTCTGAGATTCCCTTTTTTGGGTTGTTTTGTGGTTTGGTGCGTTAGCTTGTGGAAATGACATGGAAAGTCACTGGAGGATTTTATTTTTTGGTGAGTGTGGAGGGTGTTACTCCGAGCAGTGCTTGGGGCTTATTTCTGACTCTGCTCCAGGATCACTTCTGGCGGTACTCAGGGGACCATATCAGGTGTTGGGGTTTGAACTGACGTTGACCACGTGTAAGGCAAAAGCCCTACCCACTGTTCTATCTCTCCCGTCCAGCTATGAGAGGATTTTTAGCCAAAGAGTGACAAAAGGCTACTGATGCTTGGAAATGAGTATTCCAGAAGCAGGGAAACCTGGGGAAGCAAAGAGAAAACTATGGTCCAAGCAATACTTGACGAGTGTCTGATTCTGAATTATGTTGATTGCCAAGTTTAAACAGGCTTTCATCGTTGCTATGGGTTATAAAACAGAAGCCAAGGATGACTGCGATTTATTATTTTTTTTAACAGAGGAGCTTGAATAGAATGCCACTTTTTGAGGTGGAGAAATCCATGAGAGGAGACATGAGGGTGTAATTCAGCAGTTTGACTTACCCTGTGTGAAGTGCTTGACGCCTTAGACCAGCATTTCTCAACTTTTCTCTGACTGTTCTAGTCCCTTCTAACCTTGTTTCCTTCCTGTGCTCCCACAACCCCTTTCCTATGAGTTTGCACCCTAATCTGGTGCCATGACCCCCCCCCACCCACCCATTAACAGTTTTCACTGGTGGCCCCTTGGACTATCCTGGAGGCCTACAGAAGAAATTCTGCTTTAGACATAAGTAGGTAAGGTTCATCATCTCAGCTAACATGTGCCAGCCCTGGGCTGGGAGTATCTTCTTGTAACAACCCCTAACAGATGAGCTCTGTTAATCTCCTTGTCTGCTTTGGGTCTAGAATCCATGTCTGTGTGACCCAGTTCAATGGAATTGGATCTGGGCTGCTTGTTTTCCTCTTTCTAGTTGAAATTGTAAAGGGACCGTAAGGTTGTCCACTGTTGAGTGGACCAGATCTCTCCAACTTCTCAAAGACTAGAGGTGCCTACTCTCCCTTCCACCTCTGAAGGATTTGCACAATGGTGTCTCGTGTTTTCCAGTTTCGGAACAGTTGTCTGAGTGCAGATCAGCAGGAGCTCGCAGAAGCTGAGCCCAGAGCATAGAAGAAGACCACTGTCAAGGCCTTTGGGGTGGCCACTGCCTGGTCAGGCCCAAGTGCCGCTGGAGCCCCTAGTCAGCGGGCCTCCTTACATTACAGAGGCTGCCTGTGCCTTATAGCCTTCCCTCTCCCTCCTGAGGGCTGATAGGAGCCTTTCAGGGCTTCTCTAGGGCTCTCAGGCTCTCTCATATCTACAGCCATCCTCCAACCCACCTTCCCTCACAGAATAACTACCTGACTTGTATCTTGGCTCATTCAAGTCTGGTCAGGACATTTTCATTTGGGTTAATATCACTGCATGACATGACCATGACCCACTCTGTCTTTTGGCTCAGCCAACCAAGAAACAGGCATTGTCTCTAGGCATTCTGGGACTGTGGGCGAAGGCATGTGAGTGAGGGCAGATAAGCCACAGTGCGGTGATGAGTTCATAAATGAGAAACCTGAGAGAGAGAGAATATCAGGTAGGTTTCTTCCCTTACACGCAGCTGACCTGAGTTCAATCCACACATGGTCCCCTGAGGCCTACCGTCAGTGATCCCTGAGCACAGAGCCAGGAGTTTAGCCCTCAGCCCAGCCAGGAGTGGGCCCAAAAGCAAAATAAAATTCTCACTAACTTTAAAGAACTTCACTGTTCACAAGAAGCATTACGTAGGAATAAATGTGCAGTGATTTAGTACAGAGGGGAAGGCACTAGGGGTCAGTTCAGACCAACGTGGTTCAGTCCCCAGTTCTCAGCTGTTTCCCTAAGCACCTTGGGATCAAACGCCAAGCACAGAGTCCAGAGAACTCCCTGAGCACCTTTTGGGGGTTCCCCCAAAATTGAAAGAAAAAAAGAGAGAATGTTCTAGATCCATGGTTTATACCTACAGATCAGCAGTGATTATGGAAGGCAGCTGCCTAGGTCAGTTTCTTGGGCTTTGGCTCTCAAGTCCTTGTAAGAACTGTTTCCTGCACTGAAGAGTTTCTGATATCTAGTGACAGATGCTGGCATCTTTCTGTCATTGAGGTATTTGTGAATATTAGTGAATAAATTCTGTGATCTCACTGAATAGATTCTAGTGAATAAATTCTATTCAGATGAGAAAGTCTAGAATGTATTTTGAATATATTTTCTTGCTTGCTTGTTTGGTGCAGGGGCACACCTAGCTGTGCTCAGGGCTTATTCTTGGGTCTGTGCTCTAGGCTCATTCCTGGTAGTGTTCAGGGAACCATATGGGGTACTGGGGGTCTAACCTGAGTCTGCAGTGAGCAAGGCAAGTACCTGCTCTACCATCTTTCCAGCCCCAGGGACATATTATTTGCTGATATATAAGCATAGTATTCATTCTTGCCCCTCTGAATGCACACAAGCAAAGGTATTTCAAATGCCATGGACCAGCAGATAAACCTCAGCTGTCCTCGAAGAACATCAGTCTTCCTAGGTGAATGGCATCGAGTCAGTATCTGGAAACTTGAACCATGACAGACCTGAGAGGGAGTGGGTTGAGAATGCATCACTGACAGTGCAGATCCAGAGAGCATCAGTGCCTCATGCTGCCCTTTATTGTCTCCTAGAGGAGAACTTCTGAACGTTTTTCTCCTTGGCACTGCTTTTCACCCCCAAAATGCAACACAGTGAACATTGTCATCACATAGTTGATTTTGAATTAGTTTGGGGTCATTGCACATTCAGAAAACTTTTACAGGGCTGCAGTGATAGCGCAGTGAGTAGGGCATTTGCCTTGCATATGGCCAACCCAGGTTCGATTCCCAGCATCGCATATGGTCCCCTAAGCACCACCAGGAGTAATTCCTGAGTGCACAGCCAGGAGTAATCCCTGTGCATCGCCGGGTGTGACCCAAAAAAGGGAAAAAAAAAACCAGAAACCTTTTCCAGTTTCCAGTTTTTTGTGACCACCCCCCACTCAGTTATATGACCCTAGATGCTTTTGTCACCCACTGTTTAAGAAGCTGGGTCACGAAGTGTGTTTCAGTAGCAGTTGAGCTTTGAGATGAGAATGTTCTCTTTTGAACATTGCAAAGAGACTAGGGGTTTGGAGGTCAAACAGGTCTGAGTTGGGAACCCAGTTTCATGACATACAGCGAGGTAAGCCCAGTTTGCTGATGGGTGTAAGGGGAGAATGCTTTCCACCGTGCGGGTGGCTGCAATAATTTAAAGAATTGACGGGGGAAAGCAAGCTAGTATAGGAGCATGTGCGGTATTAGAACTAGTCCTGTTCTTTTTAAGTCTCTTTCTTACCCATTAATGGAACATCTTCTGTTGAATGCAGAAACTCAGGAAGACAACAGGTGGGGTAAGATCATTCACTGCTGCATGTGATTTCCAGCTTTAGGAAAGTTCTGTCCACTGTGCAAGCTGCCCTAAGACCCATCTGGCCCTTAACTGAATGTTTGTCTTGGCCCTGTGCAGGTCCTGGAGAGGTTGCAGCAAAGAGGCTTCGAAATCGTGGGCTCCTGCGGGGGAGGCGTAGACTCGTCTCAGTTCAGTGAATATGTCCTGCGGCGGGAACTGAGGCGGACGCCCCGTGGACCTTCAGTCATCCGGATAAAGCAGGAGCCTCTGGACTAAACGGACATATTTCTTATGCAAAAAATGGAAAACAACTTAAAAAAAACATACACATCAAATAACGCCAAGAAGGGGACCCTAATGTGCAGTTGGGACAGCAACCAAGTCCTGGACCTAAAAATTGAATCAAAGACGCATTTATATTCAATAGAGACCACACCTGTATTCACATGGGAACAATTGGAATAGTGATATCCTCAAGGTGTAAAAAATATATAAATATATATATATGTCAAAAGGTAGGAAATGCAAAAAAAAAAAAAAGAAAAAAAAAGGAAAACAAACAAAGGTGGTAGGAGCAGTCGGTGCTGTGATGGCGGTGACGTGTCCTGGGCCCCAGGGCCTCTGACCAATAAGCCATGAGCAGTGAGGATGCATCTCCTTACAGTTTCCATTGCCAGCAGCCATCAGTTCTTTCTTTTTTCCTTTGACTTTCTTTCCCCCAGTCCCCCTTCCTCCCACCTTCCCTCTCTTTTTTTTTTAAAACCACCTTGATTCGGCTTTCTTTGCATTTGGAGGTTTCAGGTCTCTCTCTAGGCGGGTATCAGGGCAGGACTTTCGAAAAACTCTCCTGAGCGCGCTGCATCCAAGAGACCTTAGACGGGAAATTTTAAATGTCGCTTGTACAGAAATCACAGGTTTTTTGTCCGCCTCACAGATGTGAACATGACTTTGTTTTTAAACTGATCAGTTTTGCAAAGGGGCCGGAATTATTACTTGTTAAAAGTCGCTCCAGTTTGAGTCTGCTGCTTTCCTACAATTTTTCAAATTTTATAATGTATTAAATACAATAAACTCTGTTTTAAAAATACAGTCTTTGTGAAACACATGTGTCAGGACAAGGCTGGATTAAAATGAAATTTTCCTTTTTTAACAGTTTTGTGTTGCGTGTCCAAAAGAGAGGCCTGGGAAAGCTGGAGAGAGATAGTACAGCAGGGAAGGCCTTGCATGCATCTGACCCAGGTTCGATTCCCAGCATCCCATCTAGCCTCCCCCAGCACCGCCAGGAATAATTACTGAGTGCAGAGCCAGGAGTAACCCCAGAGCATCACTGGGTGTGGCCAAATTTTTTTTTATTTTAAAAAGAGACCTGGAGTTGGAGAGATAGTAGAGTGGTAAGACACCTTGCATATAGCCTACCCAGCTTCAACCCCTGCTGCTCCCTGTGGCCTCCCAGTCCCTAACAGAAGTTATCACTTAGCATACAGATGTGTCCCCAAAATAAACAAAGTCTAAAACTTAGGTCCAGGGAGCTGGAGCAATAGCACAGCAGATAGGGCATTTGCCTTGCACGTGGCCGACCCGGGTTCAATTCTCAGCATTCCATATGATCACCTGAACACCGCCAGGAGTAATTCCTGACTGCATGAACCAGGAGTTACTCCTGTTGATTGCCGGGTGTGACTCAATAAAGCAAAAAATAAATAAATAATAAAAGTTAGATCAAGTTTTGTGGTCAAACTCCTAAAACATATAAGGATGTTTAAAGAAAAAAAAAAAACTTTTAAAGAACCGGGGAGATATCACATGCTTGCCTTGCCCATGGCCAACCCAGGTTCAAGCCCCGGCACTGCACTTCATTTCACCACAGCCCACCAGGAGTAAGTGCTGAGTACAGAGCCAGGGGTAAGCCCTGAGCATCACTGGGTGTGCCCCTCCACAGAAAGATACAGATGTTGTCCCCAGTCGCCCGTTCTCTCCCCCCTGCACACATGCCTCCTCATGAACTGTTTACAGATTTCACTCATTTCTTGCTGCAAAGCAAAGGACACCAGCTCTTAGTTGCTTAACTCTTAGTAGCTTATGGGGACCAGCTATAGCTCAAGTGGTAGAACATATGCAGGCCAGACATATGCAGTGTCCGGACTTAAAGGGGCCTTGGTACTTCATAGCCCCCAGAGCACCACCACTGAGGGTGACCCCAGTAACCCCTACGCACAGCCAAATGCGACCCTTATTATTATTACTTGTTCTTTTTAATTTTTTTTTCCAAATTTTTTAACCAACAGCGTTTTGCTCTCTTGATCCTGCGACTCTTAAAGACAGGCCATTTGCTGGGTTGCTTCAGCTGCGTGTGATCTCCGACATCCTCTGCGGAGGTGGCTGGGCTGTGCAATCCAAGATGGCTCCCTTGGGGCCTGCCAACTGATACTGGCTGTTGGCCTGTCCTCATGGCTTAGTCCCCAGCCAGCATGAAAACGAGTTCCCAGAGGGAGTGTTGTCAGACCAGGCTTCTAAGAGGCAGGAAGCAGGAGCTGCAGGTTTCTCAAAGGCCCGGCCTGGAACTGCTCCCTGAACCTCCAGGGTAATCTCTACTCAGCAGACACAGAGGCAGCCAGAAGGAGACATAAATCCACCTCTTCGTGGGGAGAGTGACAAAGAATGTGTGGCCAAGTTAAATAATGTTCTATGACACAGCCCAAAAGCTGGAGGTTGGAGTAGTGGAAGAAGTAGAGAGTCTCGGGGTTGAATGATTACTTTCTTATTAGCCAGCGAGGTGGGAACCTGAGATTTGGATACGGCTGTGGAATCAGGTCCTTCAATCCCAGAATATGACTGTATCCCTAGTCTCTTCTGCCACTCCTGCCCCTCCTTTCTTCTCGACTTGCTCTTCCTCATTCCAGACACTGGGAATAAAACTGCCGCGATGATAAGATTGATGTTCCTGTGGAGATGAGTTCTTTCCATTCAGAACTTCCTCTTTATAAACAAACAAACAATTAAAAAAAATCAAAAGTGCCAGTCTGAGGGGCTGGAGTGATAGCACAGTGGGGAGGGCGTTTGCCTTGCATGTGGCTGACCCAGGTTCAGTTCCCAGCATCCCATATGGTCCCCCAGCCCCTCCAGGAGTAATTCCTGAGTGCAGAGCCTGGAGAAACCTCTGTGTGCCGCCGGGTGTGACCCAAAAAGCAAGCTGAAAGTAAGCTGTAAATGGTTCCTATCAGCTGCCCCCCTCTCCCTCCTCCCTCGTCTCCATGACCCTGAAACGCAGATGCTGCCCAAACACTGAATTATTCTGATGACTGCCAGTCAGGCCTCCGCAGCAGTTTTATTTCTTTGTGTTTGAGATGAATCCATGGCTACTTCATATGGAGACAGTCGGGCTCAGCCACTGGTGGCCTGCTTGGCCACACCTTACCAAAAAGAAAAACACAGTTGCCCTAGAGTTTAGCAGTCCAGTTTTCTCAGACAGAATTTCCCAAAACCAAATAGCAAAGCCCTCCCCAATTGGGGACAGCTCGCTGGGCTGTTATTAGTTAACATCAATCAAGCAGTTAGATTATCCCAATGAAACACAACACAGGATTGCATGTGTTGGCTAAGTAGCAGCAACGGTTCTCTTCTAAGGGTTTGGTTTCACTTGGTTTGGTTGAGGGTGGTGGATTTGGGCCACACCTGGTGATGCTCAGGGGTTACTCCTGGTTCTGTACTCAGGCATCACTCCTGGTGGTGCTCAGTGGACCATATGAGATGCCGAGGGTCAAACCTGGGTTGACCTCATGTAAGGCAAGCATATTACCCACTGTACTATTTCTCTGGCCTTTTTTGAAATTTTTATGCCCATTTATAAGAATATACCCAAATTGCATGATTTTTTTTGAAAAAAAAAACAGATTTAATACAACAGAGCATACCTACAGTTTGTAATATTGTTGATTTTAGTTTTTAGAGCACATACTAAAATACTTCAGAAGGGGTCGGAGACATGGTATAGTAGGTAGGGTGCTTGCCTGCACACAACCAACCAGGGTTTGATCCCGGCATCCCATATGGTCCCCAGAGCACTGTCAGTAGTGATTCATGAGTGCAGGGCCAGGAGTATCCCCTGAACATTGCCAGGTGTGGCCTGAAAGCCAAAACCTAAAATGCTTCAGGGTTGGAGCTATAATACAGTGGGGAGGGTGCTTGCCTAGTATGCAGATGACCTGGATTTGATCCCTGGCACCCTATATGGTCCCCTGAACCTGTCAGAAGGGATCCCTGAGCGCTTAGTCAAAAGTAAGCCCTGAGCATTGACAGGTGTGGTCCAAAAGTCAATAAATAAATAAGTACTTCAGGAAAGAGCTGGTCAATTAATACATGTCACAATCTTGGTTTTTTTTCCCCTGCTTTTTATTGTGAATATATAGCTTATACTCGAAGCTCAACAGTTGTCCCAATAAGGATCTTTAGGTCTGTGTTGTTTCCCCATAAAGGATCTTAATGAAACACATGCATTGCATTTATTAATGAAATCTCTTTAAAGCCAGAGAGATAGTAAGCAGGTAAGGAACTTGCCTTACACACGGCCAAGCTGGGTTTAATCTCCAGCACCTCTATGATCCTCTGAGCACTGCCAAGAGTAAACCGTAAGCACTCCAGATGGGGCACAAAATCAAAAGAAAAAGAAAATATAAGCAAGGTTCTCCCCTATCTCGCACGCACGCATTTGCGTGTGTGCGGGCGGGCGGGCGTGTGTGTGTGTGTGTGTGTGTGTGTGTGTGTGTGTGTGTGTGTGTGTCTTACTGAAAAATCTAGATTTGACTTAGTGGTGCCTGTGGAAGAGTCAGGTTAGCTTTTTTGGCAGGGATTTTACGTAGTGATGTTATAAGTCCTTCCCTCACAGGACAAGGGTCGATTTTGGCCCATATTGGTAATCAAGATTTTAATCACACGATTTAAATAACAGCTACCAATTCTCTACTAAAGTGGTTTTCTTAATTTGTAATTAATATATAATCTATAGGACCGTGGATGTTACTCACTGAGCCCGGGTCTCACCTGTGTGAGGCCTGAGTTTTATCCCAGGAGCTGAAAGAATAAGGTGACAAAAATAATGACAATAATAAGTAATCTGTGGAATGAAGTTTTGAAACTGTCTTACTTACGCACTTTGGTCAGTTGTTTTTAACATTAACTGATCATCCTTTCCTAACTCTCTCACTACCTTGGTAGTTATAAAAATATGCTTTTTCCTGAACAGTTGAACATTGAAAAATAAGATGCATACAATTCCCTGAATCGTTGATGTTACAAATGACCTATTCCTTTTTCTCTTTTTTTTTTTTGTTTTAACTTAGCAAAACACATTTCTAGGATTCAACCCATAAATCTTTGACCTGTGCTTTTATAAAAGGAATTTCCACCAAACAGGATATAGCATGCAACTAAATGGCATGGTCTCTGAATATTAGGTGGATTTCTACATGCTGTTAATAGCCATGCACTTAATGTTTGCTCTGCACCAGAACCCTTGCCTACATTAAATCATTGACCTCATAACCACACTTGAGGTTGTAGTATTCCTGTCTCTTAGTCAAATAAACTAAGAGCACAAGACATCAAGGAAATGATACATTAGAGGCTGATATTCAGTTCGTCTTTATGAGGAAGGTTCAAAACAAGCTATTTAAGAAAAAGCAAGCTTTCTTCTTGTAGTATGATGAGGAAGAAAGATCGCTTGGTATTTTCTTCTTAGAATGGAAATGTGTTCCTATATTTTAATATTTTGAGCATCACAAGGCGTTGAGCATTTGATTTCAGCAATGCTGGTAACTCTGACCTTCTTTCTGCAATAGTGTTCTGGGGCAGTGGGGGACAGAATTAACAGAATTAGGCCATGTCCATCAAACTGACATAGTCCAAGGCACTATGTGTCATTTGGCTGTGAGTTCATATTTTCAAACCAAGAATTGTGGAAATGCAGTATGATAAGGGATCACACCTGGCTTGGGAAATTAGAAAAACGTAGGGCAGGTTGCATTTGAAAGAAGGGTAGGCTTGCACGGGACAAAGAGGGACAGCCACGGCTGGGCTGGGAAGCATAAGGCATGCTCATCAACGACAAGG